TCCCAGGCAGGCAGGTTCCTACCTACACCTGTATGATGAGGAATCCCAAGGAGAGTGAAGATTGGTTCTCCTGTCATTATGTAGATAGTTAATTCAGGGGAGGAAGGTGGACTTTATTTACTAATGACTTGATTCCTGGTTTATCTGTTTCTTGATTTAGGGCAAACTGAGGTCTTTTGCTTAACTTTGTTTTTAAAATCATAGGGAGGGCATTTTTCTCTAATTTTTTTTTTAACTTTTATTGATTCTTTGTGGATTTCACCTCATACATTCTTATTCCACTCATCTCCCTGCCTCTCTGAATCTGCCCTCTACCCTTGCAACCTCCCCCTCAAATCAAAGCCAAATTTAAAAGTAAAACCAAAAACCAAACAATACAAAGAAACAAAATAAAACAAAAACAAATTTTTTTTAAAAAAAAAAAAAGGAAGAAGAATCATCATAGAAGCTGTAGTGTGTCCTGTTGAGATACACAGTTTACCCTTTAGTCCATTCATCTATACTTGAAAGTGTTCATTGCCATGAGTCAAGGCCCCTGGTTTCTGCTACACCCCAATAATGAGCTGTCACTGGGCTCCTCTTGGACATCCTGCTGTTGTCCTGTGTCATGGAGATTCTGCCATTTTGGACCTGTAGGTTCATCCCCTTCAGATGTTCCAACAGTTCAAAGATTTGGTGGGTGTTGGGGTGGGCCAGCTCATAGCCCTGGCTCTGGGCCTGGGCGGTAGCTGGATTGGTCAGCCTGCTAGCCTTCATGGGGATGGCATTTTTATGGAGGAGAGAAAATGACCATACTGTCTGCAACACGCTTTTCCCTTTCCCTTTCCCTTTCTCTCTTTTCTATTTGTTTCTGTGTTCGAGATATTTGAAGACAAATGTGACTGTGTCTCTGCTTCCTTAATCATCTTTTTTCTCTGAACCAGCAGGAAATGCCCACTACCTTGCCCTTTCACATTTACTTACAATTCCTTAACACCTGAGATCTGGGCCGGCATCAGGGATGGAAGCTGGGATAAGAATTATGAGGGAGGGAATGGAGAGATGGCCCAGAGGTCCAGCTCAATGGCTGCTTTTTCAAGGACTCTGGTTTGATTCCCAGCATCCACATGATGGTTCACAGCTATCCATAACTCCAGTCTCAAGAGATCTGATCCTTTCTTCTGGTCTCCACTGGCACCAGGCATGCACATGGTACACAGACACAGACATGGAGACAAAGAAAAATTTAAACAAGGCAAAAATAAATGAGAATGGAGAGGAGGAAGCATTCAGAAACCGAGATAGGAAATAGATGCTACAGAGAAGGTGAACCATTGTCTGATTCTGATCATATGAGAGGGATGAACAGTTTGCTCAGGGGTTTGATATGACTCCAAGATGCCCATTTGCCTGGCTGCATTGGTCCTAATGTTCATGGGAGAGCGGGACCTAGGGGAAAAAAATTCTGGACTCAGATAAAATGTTTCTCTCCTAATAATACACAAGGTGAACCTATTATCGTGTACTAACATCCAAGCTCACATCCACATGGAGAATGTCTCCAGAAGACCTTCGTTTTCAGAGAAAAGTTTCAAAAAATTACCATTACTTTCAGCAATATATGAAACACCGTAAAAAAAATTTTTTTTGTTCTATTTTTGTTTTGTTCTGTTTTGTGTTTTTGCTTTCTGTTCTGTTTGGGTCTTGTCCTGCTTTATATATTTTGTATTTTTGTATTTCGGTACACAGGATTTCTCTGTGTAGCTCTGGCTGTCCTAGAACTCACTTTGTAGACCAGGCTGGCTGCCTGCCTCAGCTTCCCAAGTGCTGGGATTAAAGACGTGTGCCACCACCTCCTGGCATAAAAATAATTTTTAAATATTTTTTTTACACAGGTTTCACTATGTAGACCAGGCTAGCCTCAAACTCACAGAGACTGGCTTGCCTCCCCACTGCTGGTACATGAAGTTGTTGTTGTTGTTTGCTGTTGTTGTTGGTGATGATGATGATAAAGGTGGTAGTGGTTTCCTTCTTTCCTTTTTGTTTTGTTTTGGTTGGATGGTTGGATGGGTAGGTGGGTGGGTGGGTGGGGTTTTTTGGGGGGAGGGGAGTGCTGGGAATCAAATTCAAGGTCTTATACATATTAGAACAAGAGGTAGCCAGCCCTTAGAATATATTTTTTAAAGCAATGTATGGGTAGTAACTAAGAGTATATGATATTCTGGGGAGATGAATGCATTCTGGGGGTGCATGCGAGTGATGGTTATACAGTAGTGTAAATCAATGTATAGTTCCTGAACTGAAAAGATGGTGAAAATGGTAACTTAGTTTTATGTATTTAAGTACAATTAAAAAAAAAAATGCAGCGCTAGGAAAATGTTCACTGTGGTAGAGGTATTATACAATGTTGTTTATATGTTTGTAATCTTATATGTAGAAGTGAAGGCTGGAAAGATATTCTGAACGCAAAATGATAATAGATATCATCTCTGGGTGGGATTGTGAGCAGTTTTTCCTTCTATGTGTTTCTTAATGTTCTAATAGCTATTCAATATTTGTGTAATTAGGAAACAATAAGGTTTGGAAGAGCTCCGCTCACAGGTCCACCTCTTGAGCATTATTTAGAGCAATAGTACTAGTTGTTTCCTGCAAGCCCGCCGTATTGTTCCTTCCTTTTAATGGCCTGTTTCCTACCTCAAATGTTAAGTTCCGCAGGAGCAGATCCTTGTCTTACTCAGGCAGGACCCATAATGCTTAAGCAGTTTTGAGGCCCTCTGTAAACACTCAGGTAAAAGAGTGGGTCTATGTGTAAACAGATAGATCAACAGTAGATAAGTTCTCACTATCTCAGTCTAGGTCTCTTACTCCTACAGCAAATTTTTTTTTTTAATTTTTATTTTGTGTGCATTCGTGTTTCACCTGCACATATGCCTGTGTGAGGGTGTGAGATCCCCTGGAACTGGAGTTACAGACAATTGTGAGCTGCCATGTGGGGGCTGGAAATTGAACCCAGGTCCCCTGGGAGAACAGCCAATGCTCTTAACTGCTGAGCCATCTCTCCAGCCTCCCCCTAGCAAATATTAAAACTGATAAATTTGTGAATTATACATATTTATTTCTTACAGTTCTGGAAGCTGGCAAGTCCAAGGTGAGAATGCCAGCAGATTCCGTGTCTGGCAAAGTCGCCTTCTTTCATAGCAGAGAACCCCTTTCTGTACCTTCATGGGGAAGAAGGGGCCCCCAGCTCCCTGAACTTCTTTGAAAAGGGGACTAATTCCACTTAAAAGCAGAGCTCTGTCTTTGTTACTTAATCCCTTCCAAAAGGTATTGTATCTTAACACGACCACACCACAAATAAGCCTCACTGTATAAATGGGGACACACTCAGACTATGGCACTCAGGTCAGAAGAGTTAGCATTTTTCTGTCCTATGCACCCTCCTGAGGCACCCAGGATCAACCCACTTCCCAGCATCTGTAGGGAGGATTACAGGAAGGGTTTTCTCGGGTGCAGGATCATTGAAAGGAAGCCTAAACAGGTTTACAGGATGGAAAGTAGTCTAGAACCCGTGTCCTTTGGAGGGTAACACAAAGCATGTGAGAAAAGTAGTGTAGAAAAGAGGAGAAATCCTGTGACCACTTCCGGGGAATGGAATCTGCAACCAGGTAGAAAGACACATCTAATTAATAAATATCCTCCATATTCTACAGGCCAGGGTCTGAGGTTGGTGCCACAAACACAATTATATGTCATTTGTTTGATGTCTGACAAAGATGATAAGATCTTGACGCTACTAAATTCTGTGTTTTTGTGCATTTATGTGCCTGTTACAGCACTTGAGGAATTGGACATTCCTGTGTTATTTGTCCCCCATGTATTTCTGCTTCCTCTGACATTTGTCCAATTATGCCTATAAACAGAGGAATGCCAATGACTGCTGAGGAGAAATTAGGAAAGGCAGAATTGAATGCTTCAGAAGGCAGAGTCCAAGTCAGCATGCCCTAGGGTGCATTTCCTGGAACCCTGGAGATACGTGGGTTCATTTTATTATATCAAAAACCTAGTTTGGTATAAATAACCTAAGAACATTTTGAGATAAGGTTTTTTTAAACCACAGCACAGAATTAACACTTCATTGCATACTGCAAGTCTGCTAGATGGGAGAAGGTCTTTGTTCTCAGGCTTCTGGGTACCAGGGCACTTCTATGTATAGAATCGCATCAGATGAGCATCAGGAAAGGTCATTCTCTCTCCATAATGAGAACATTCACCTTTAAACAGGTGGCTCACAGTCACAGATCCAGATGGGAGCTGTGGCACTCCTCTGAGGTACACTTGGCACCCTGCACAACAGATGCCCCAGTCTTCATTCTGAACCATTTATCAAACCAATCCTCTCACCTCATCTCCTCCCGTCATAGCCTTCCCAGCTGCCGGTGTCTCTTATCTCCTTTTCCATCCTTGTTTTAAAGTTGACTCTAAGGAAGCCTGCCTTGTCCTGATGCTCCTGACTTGAGCCCTGCCTTACAAGGGCTCTAATTTCTTGTATTGAGCTACATGGGGCAACTCTGGGTAGACGTCCGCCCACTTCAATGTACAAAATGGAAAGCTATCCAGACGGGTTCTCCTGTCAGAGAATGAATGAACAGGGTAGCCTGGCCTTTATGATGTTGAAAGTTCTTGCTTGGTCTCATTTTGAGTGACCTCTTTGATGTGTTGGAGACTCTTAATATCTTATTTCTAGGCATACTTTTAACCACTTTGGTACCTAGGAAAACAGTTACTTCTGTCGACCAAACCACCAACTACCTTGTCAATCCTCATATGTAACGCTAATGCTTGTCTATACAGGTCTGAAGCTTTCACACAACGAGACTGAGCCAGTCACGAAAGGTCAATGGGGCAGTTCTCCCTTCTGGCCACATCAGTGACTTTGAAGACATCCTAAGAGATGCACAGGAGAAGCTACAGAGACTTTCAACTGGAGTCCCTTAAAGCGCTCCCCAGTTTCAATCTCTTACCTTGTAACTTGGGTCCTCATTCCGAAATCCAGAGACCTCATTGATTGTAGCACTTCAATGCAGCCCATGTACTAGAAGAAAAGAAAGGAGAAGTAGAAGGATGCAAATATCAAAACACCATCTCTGAGATACACAGTGATGTCCTGGGCAGTCCCCACAGTCGACTCCTGATGGCAACTACGTGTGTGCCCATCACCTGTGTCGATACTTCTGACCACCAATGTGCACACATGTCCCCTTGGCTACAAAACATCAGTTAACGACAAAGTAAACACAAACTTGGGTATTGGGAATGCCAGTGACAGGGATGACCTCGGGCTCAGAAGCTGGTGAGTGTGGATCTGAGGTCTTCGTACTGTGCGGGGTGCAAGATTCATACACTGGCTTTTGAAATCTTCATTTTAAAGCCCCAGTTAGTGACCCAACTTTTCTACATTGGTTTTGTCCTTGGTAAAATGAAAATACAATTGGAACTGTTGGGAGAGCTAAATTATTTCACCTATGGAAAGCTTTTAGAACAATGCTTACTAGGCATAAGGGCACAGATGTCAGAGGAAACAAAAATAAATGGGAGACAAATAATACAAGACTTTTCAGTCTCCTAAGTGCTGGCAGAAGCTTACAAACTCACAAAAGACAGACTTTAATAGCATTAAGAAGTCTTATTATTAAGTCTTATCAGGGTGGAGAGATGGCTCAACTGTTAGGAGCACCAGCTGCTCTTACAGAGGACCCAGGTTCAATTCTCAGCACCCACATGGCACCACTGTCTGTAACGCCAGCTCCAGGGGATCTGAGACCCTCACACAGACATGCAGGCAGGCAAACTACCAATGCACATAAGATAAAAAAAAAAAATTATCATCTTTTGTAAGATAACTGTAGCTCAAAAGAAAAAGAAAATAATCATGCCCTAAAACAGTGCTTGGTAAGTTTAGCTTGAACACGGAACGTGGGAAAAGATGTTGTGACTTCGAAAACAAAAACTGTTCATATTCAACATGACAGCAGGGGAGTCAAATCAGGGATGTGGTTGAAGAGGCTTAAGCCAGTGGGAAGGTGGGTAAATAGAGGATGCAGTAGGATGCCGCCTCCCCCCGACCCCCCCAGAGAGGGAAGGAATGCTAGCCCACTCGGAAGAGGGACTGTAGCAATGAGGAGGAGACAGATTCAAGTGACATCATGGAAAGACATACCACAGGATTCAGCAGTTAATTTGCTGCTAGAGTGGGAGAAGAGTGAGTCAAGGCTGACTCAGCTGCTTCCAGCCCGGGCACAGAGGAACCTGTAGTGCCATCAACAGGATGGGGCGTGGGGGGTGGGGGGGGACAGGAAAGAAAGGTTATGAATTGCTTTGGAGACCATTGATTGCAAGACACTACTTGGGGAGCCAGGAAATAAGAGGCTGACAGCGAACATTGAATTCAGTGTCCCCGAGAGGACAGAGCAGAGGAAGGGACAAGGCGGGGACACAGTCCCAGCTTTCTAAGCATCTGGCAGGTGAGGCTGTGGGATCCTCTCAGCAGAGCAGCAGTGATGGGACAGGGTTCACTGAAAATGGCCTTGGAAAGCCGAGTGGTGTGGATGAAAGGGCTCTCAGGGCCTCAGAAATGAGGCACTTCCTGTTTGTTGTCCCTTGGAAGGCATCAGCCTCCCTTGGTGATGGGAGAGGAGGGGGCACTCCTCAGATCCTTCTTGTAATGTTTCTGAGTGTGTTTTATAGATGCCTCATTCCCAAGCTGGCTGGGTGCTCAGCTGCTGCCGTGAGTCTGGCTTGGGGGAGACATTCTCAGACCCCACTCGTCGTACTGCTCCGGGGGGTCTCTGATCCTGACACAAAACTACTCTGTGTTCTCAGCTTTCTAGGTTTGAGCACTGCAGCGAGGTGAGCTGTCTGGGGACAGGGACTGACTGACACTTAGGACTTCCTAGACAAAGGAAGGTCACTTGAGGGGCTCTTCTGGAAAGCACATTTCAGAACTGTAGTGAAGGAGGATGCTCCAGTCCTCCATTCACAATGAGGCAGATGGAAAGGACCGCCTGAGAGTCCTCATTGGCTGCTCCAACTGCATGGCCCTCTCTACCCTCCTCACCCCAGAACCTGACTCATTCACCCCAAATTCCTACACACCCATCTGGGGAATATTGGGGTCCATACACAAATGGGGAGAAGGTCTGGGCTACCCTTCCAGTTCTCCATGGTGCCCCCTTGGTGCTGAGGTGAGTGCCTGCCAGGCAGTCATACATCACTAACTCAAGCTGATAAGGTACACTGACCTATCTGTACATGCCTGAAAGGTGACAGGCACTACATTTTCACACTCTGACACAGAGATTTCTAAAATGTAAATAAATATATATTCATATGTATATATTTATTTTTATATATTCATATGTACATATACTTATGTATTTATGTGTATATATTCAAGCAGTGAGGGTGTGATTTTTATATATAATATATTATAAATATAATATACAATATAGTATAAATATTATATACAATATAATATGTAGTATAAATATTGTATATAATATAATTAATATGTTATATCATATATTTATATATAAATGATATATATAAATCACTTACTCTCACTGCTGATATCGCTTCACATCTATCACCAAAACAGTCATCACAACCAATGCCTAGACCTTTGCTCTCCTTGATCCCATTACTAAGTGTCCCACTCCCACACTTTGAATCTTGGCCTCCGTTCTTATCCTCAGACCCACCCAACCCTTCCCAAGGGCAGGGACTTCCCGCTAGCCACTCTCCCTGACTAACTTGTCTCTCTCCACTTTACTGAGCTGATTATTTGTCTCCCTGCAGGTTTTAATTAACACGAAACATCCTTAGGTCCTCTCCTGCCGCTCATGAGCACAACCCATACTCATCGCTTCCACGCCACTGAGCATCAGATTCATCTGTCAATTGGCTTGCTCATTTCCTTGGCTGTAAGCACTGTTGAAAGAAGGGACTGAGACTGTGCCCAGCACCCTGGAGTACTTAGCAAACACACCACACACACACACACACACACACACACACACA